CCAATTAATTACCGAAGGATACTTGTACCCGAACCCTGGATTATATGCGATTGTTCGAATAACATCGGGCGATCCCATCTTCGTCGTCGTCGACCTCCTGGACATAGCCGAGGAGGAGGAAGCGGCAGCGGTGACCGGCGGTCTTACCCCGGCTTCTCCTAAACAAGATCGGAAACGGGCCAGTCGTCGTCGGGTAGCGAGAAAAGGAGACTCTGCCGAAGGTGAGTGTATAATCTGTTTTGTTGGCTTTTTCCGTCGTCAGTTACAATGTGTTAGAGATAGGGAAATAGAAGCGCGCTCAGTATAGAGCGGCGGCGGCATAGAAAGCGTTGCCTAATTAGCGGCATTTTTGGGGACCTGTATCTCGCGAAGGGTCGCTTGTACGGGCATGGTTCCTTTGACTTTTTTGTTCCTATCGATATGCTCTACTGCTCTGTCAAAGTCCCAATTTGCTACATTTGTCCTAGAATTGTGCCGGATTGCCATGGCGGCTCACCTCTGATTCCGGCAAAGAAAAGAAAAGGAAACAGTGGGGACACACGTTCTAACCTAACCTAACCTATTCTAATAATATAATTGGTAATAATTATGATAATTTATCAGAATAGGTTAGGTTAGGTTAGAACGTGCGTCCCCACTGTATCTGGACTTTAATCAAGAAAGGAAACAGTGGAGACGCACGTTCTAACCTAACTTAACCTATTCTGATAAATTATCATAATTATTATCAATTATATTATTAGAATAGGTTAGGTTAGGTTAGGTTAGAACGTGCGTCCCCACTGTTTGCTTTCTTGTCTTTGCTGGAATCGGCGATCAGCCGCCATGACAGTCTATGTATCTCGACTTGTACCAAGAAAGCAAACAGTAGGTTAGGTTAGGTTAGGTTAGGTTAGAACATGCGTCCCCACTGTTTGCTTTTGTTTGCTGGAATCAGCGCCGGCGCCATGACAGCTGCTGCCGTTCACTTGCATCGTCATGTGACACGTCGTCTCCAAAGTGGTCCGGTTTCGAGGCTAAAACAGGAAGAGCCGCCATGATGGTCTACGACCCTGGACATTAACCAAAATGACTATAAAATTTTGGGTTAATGTGTACCTAGGTAACCCCAATGGCAGCGCTTCTGACTGTTCGTGAGCCCAATGAACTCCTCCCGGAGGGGAGCCGCCATGTGCCTAATGTCACTAGTTATTGATTCACGGTAGTTCTTGAACAAAATTTAAAAAAATGAAACGTCTACTAAAAATATAGTTAATCTAACCTAACCGCCATCATCTTGGACTACCTAGGTACACATTAGAAAAAATTTGCAATTACTTTTAAAAATTTACTTAAAATTAAAAACTAGGTATGAACTCCATACAGTCAGTAGTTAACATTTGTTTTGACAACAAAAGCATTTTTGTAAAGGCAACTGCATATGAAACATGTGCATATAAGATTCCATTATGTGAAAATTGGTTCAACCAATAACATTGGTAAACAGCAAAAACTAGTGACAAACTGCTAAGAATGTATTTGCAGGAGTTTGGATTCTGGACATTTAAAATAGATGGAAAAAATTGGAAAAATTAACAGATTGAAAAATTTTTTATTGTAATGTATGCCACAAATTGTTTTCTGCTAAAAAACAATTTCACATATTGAAATATTCTTATATCATTGCAACATGAAGCATCAAAATGAGCCAAAACAGGCAAGTTCTAGTTGCACTGATACTAACTTTGAATTCATATCAGTTGGGAACAAAACATTACTCTCAACTTTGACATTAAATCTATGATTAGGAAATAACTTATAAGAGTGTTAATTTATTTCTCAACATTAGTACAGGGCTATAAACAAAAATATTTGTCCACTTTAGAACAGTGACATAACTATAGGATAAGGGAAACTAGGTTAACCCAGTCATTCTGTTATGTCTTGTAAACAATTGTATATAGAAATAAATTTGATAATGATCAATTAGATAGCATAGAAAGTACAAAATTTTATTCTTAATTGACTTGATCATACATTTCTTACATGAAATATTATTCTAATACCTGTTATGTGATGTCATAATTTTCAAATCCCTTGTTATCTGTTTTTGCAGTTTATCCTCTCCACCTAAAAAGTGTAACATAATAGATGTTAGTAAGATTTGCTTACAGACAGAAGTATGTATGCATTTCAATCTACAAATTTTAATGTGTATTACTGGTGCTTTTAACATGTGTATATTAGTGTATATACTTGGTATTTTTACATGCATACATATGTGCATATACAGCAATTTTAAATGCATATAAATCCACCCTTAGTGATAATGAACGGTGAAAAAGTTATTTTTAAACAAAATATTTTTAAATTCTAGAAAGCTTTTGAGCTACTTTATTGTCCAATTTCAGCTACTATTAGGGTGAACTAATCCTAATAACTAATTAGAATGAAATATTCCATATTTCTATGACTGAAATAAAGGATACTTCAAATAATTAAATAATCCAACTTTTACTCCAAATTGTTCCACCTCAAAAAATAAAATTGAATGATTTTCCAGTTAATAACTAAACATGTTTCTGTTTTTTTAGATTTTGATTTAAAAATAAGTTTTTGTATTGACAATAAATATATGCAAGTTTTGGTTTAAATTAAATTTAAAATATTTAAATGGTAAACCATAGATTTATACAATAGACTTTCCTTAAAACAAACATCAATAAAGCAAATTCTCATGTTAAAGCAAACAAAAATGTTACCAGAATTCATTAAACTGAACTGTAAATTATTTTTACAACACTCAAGAAATGACCCGATTTCTGATGATAATTTTAATATGATATTCATGTTGAATAGTGTAAAAAAGCAAAGTGGTACCATAATAAATGTTCTGTTTTGAGTAGAATAATTTTCTTCTCTTGTTAGTAAGACAGGCTTGACCTCTGATCAATTCAAGCATTTCGTTTTAACAAACTATTATACTTACCATTTAACAGACCATTATATTCTTAAACTGTAATCCCTATTTTCTGAGTATACTGTACTCAAAAAATAGGGGTTAAAGTTTAAGAACCCCGCCTCTTTAAATGAATGATGTTCTATACAAACAAATGCCACTTTAGATATTGGGGGTACATACAGTGATACCTGGTTT